AACTGTATATATAATGCAAGTTTGTCTAAAAATGAAAATATGTATAGGATTTATATGAAAGCAAGTTTTTTTTTTTTTCTTTTCCTTATTTATTTTGTCAAAACTTTAAAGACCATAAAAGATAGTGAAATCCCAGGTGGCTTATAATAAATAACATGAACAAAAAAAGAGATCCTTTATGGAAAAAATAGTTGCAAAACTTAAGAGAACATAAAAAGATTGAGTGTTTGAATACGAAATCAAACATGTTTGCTTGAAAGAGCTTATGTATGTGAGACTGTCAGCTCTGTCAACATTTATGCTCAACTAAGAAAACTGAAAAAATTATCATATATTTCTTTAGCTTCATTTAGTTTTCCTGATGCCACAGAAAATAGTTTTGCAACTGGTAAGGAATATCGGAGATCACCATCAGCAATATGAAACACATGAATGAGATAACTCTGATTGGCTTGGATTTATTGGTAGACTTGATTATATTTTATTTCAGAAAGCTCTATCTGTTGCAGTAATGAGAAAATAATTACTGTGTAAAAACTCTTATCAACAAATACTCCAGCTAGTTATTAGTACTTTGCATATAGTTGACAAATAAAAATTACAAATGTAATAACTGCCTGGCACTTTCTTTAAATATTAGTGATGAGAATAGCAATAGTTTCCAGTACATCTAACCTTTCAGGCCTAGAGCACATGTTTGTTGTTTTAACTGTACATACTGTTTATCTTTGCCAGAAGCCACATTTACATTCTGTGATAAACATTTTAATCAATCAAAGCCAGGTATGTTAGTAAGATACAGAAGAAATAGCAGGTAAGGCCCTCCCAAGTATTTAAAGGTAGTGAGATAAGCCCAAAACAAAGACATATGAAAATATAAATAAAACACTGACATAATTGAAAACTCATATGGCTGTGTGGTCATATACATTTAAGTGCCAAAGTGGCAGTTAATCATTTTTAAATCACAAAAATCAGGAGGTCTTCAGGAGGTGTTGAAAAGATATATAAACACTTTTTATGTTGAAATATATTAGCAGTACTGATATAAAACTTAAGAACAAAAGAATTGATGATGTAAAATATATCACTTTGCCAGGCTCAAGCATGTTTATTGTCATGTCCTAGAGATCTTACTGTGTTGAAATGGTGCGTGAGCAACACTCAACTTATGGCCATCACAGTGGCTGGCACCACCAACCGGGTAGTAATCCAAGTCAGATACCTACGCATTAATCCTAACAGTCCCCATTCCTAAACCACTCTTTACTTAAACACTAGGCCCCACAGAGCCAACCTCTAAAATTCCTCTTCAACCTGACCCTATAGCTCTGCGGCTTCCACCTGACCTTGAGCCTCCTCCATTCCTCAGTGGGATCACTGAGAACTTTTCAAATTGTTTACGTTCCCCTTCTATAATCCACTATTCACACAGAAGGGTCACTCCTTGAAAACAGATTCCATGGTGGCAATTCCTTCTTCAGATGTCATTCACTGGCTCCCTCTCAACCCCAAGAGCAAGTCCCAGGCCTGTGGTATAACTCCCAGAGACACCGAGGAATGGGGCTCACTGCAGCTCTCCACCACATCACTGACTGCCCAGACCCTCCCTACCTGAACATCTCTGCTCCAAACACCCTCAAATGGCGAATGCCAGGTTTCCCCCATCACAGTGTTCTCCATGCCTTTGTTTCTCTGGAAACTCCTTTCTACCCATCTTTACCTAATTTCTACTCACGGTTCAAACCTCAGCTTAATTACTACTTCCTCCAGATTCCTGACGCCATCCTATTATTCTTGGTCAGGTGTTCCCCCCTAACTCAGCTCACATAGCACCTGGATTATTGCAGTATGACAGTACTTACCACACTACAGGGAATATGGACTGAATGTTTGTGAACCCATCCCCCAAGTTTGTACACAGATCAAAGCCCTAACCCTTAATGTGATGGTAAACACAGGCCCCATGCTTCCACCTGACCTTGAGCCTCCTCCATTCCTTAGAGGGATCACTAAGAACTTTTCAAATCGTTTGTTCACCTTACCCTTCTATAATCCACTATCCACACAGAAAGAATCACTCTAAAAACAGATGGTATATGCAGGCAGGGCCTTTGAAGGGTAATTAGTTTTAGACTAAGTCAGGAGGGTGGATCACCTATGATGGGATTAGTGCTCTTATACAAAGATTGAAATATTTCGCTCCCCTCCTTCCCTCTCTCTCCATGCACCAAGAAAAGGTCATGGAGGACATAACCAAGGAAGAGAGCATTCTCCAAGAACATTCAGGTAACCTGACCAGATACTTCCAGCCTCCAAAACAGAAACACTTGTTGTTTAAGCCACCCAGAATGTGGCATTTATTACAGAACCTTGAACTAAGACAAGACTGTAATCTCCTGCACTTGTCTGAATCCATAGCTGGAAAGCACCCTCCACAGGCAGAGTGCGCTCGGGTTCAAAACAATATCCTTAGCTCAGACATGGTTTCTGACACAACAATGTATAGTCAGCAATGAGGCTCTCGGAAAACAGCAAGCTGATGTGACATGAATGTGACATATTAATTAAAGTTTCCATAGAACCTTCATGTAGTGATGATATATAAACTTGCTCTTTAGTGTTTCTTACATACTGAAAACACTATTATCATAGAATAAGGTTACTAAGCATAACACTTGGGGGAGTAAAGAAAAATGATAACAGAAAGGTTTTATAGAAGAGACATAACTGCTATTTATGTAATTTCAATGGAAAAAAAATAAATTCAAAATCATCGTTCCTTTTCTTAAAAAGGCATTGTAACTTTCCAATTCCACCACATTTATCCCACTTTTGCCCATTGAGTAGTAGGCAAGGCAGATCATAAGGATAAGAAAGAATTCTATATAATAAAAGGGTAATATGCAAATCAACCAAACAGTGGAAAGACAGTCACTATGATGTGCACTGACTACCAGGGGGCAGATGCTTAATGCAGGAGCTGCCCCCTGGTGGTCAATGCACTCAGCCAGAAGCTGGGCTCATGAGTCAGACATCCCAAGGGCTCCCAGACTGTGAAAGGGTGCAGGCTGGGCTGAGGTACCCCTCGCCCCCACCGAGTGCACAGATTTTGTGCACCGGGCCTCTAGTTATTCTACATCAATCATGGCTATTCTATTTCCTGTTGGCAATTATTTTAGAGATGGAGCTATGATCCAAATCTGGCCAATGAGATGTGAAGCTTAAGGGAAGTTTAAGAGAGTCACAGGAAGTGACTGCTTTATATTAATGAGGAACAATCATCCCAAAGGCCAATGTAATCATTTTGCTACTGCACAAGAAGCGAGCAGGATGATGTGTAGTAACATTCTAAGCTCTGACAGAACAATTACAGCATCTTATAAAAGGTGTAGAAGTTCTGTTCACTTTCAATAAGTTGTAAATACCCCTCTTGGGAAACTATGTTCCATGAATGTTCTCACATTTCTGCACAGTCAGGACTTGATGAGTGAAAATTAATGGAAACTGGCCAGGTTAAAGGATGACTGAATGATAACTACCTCTTCAAAGTTAAAGATAGTGAATTTTTTCAGAGAGACTTAAGGTCTTATCTCCCTCAGTGATATTTGCTTACATTTTAAGGGTAATAAATATCTAGAGACTTTTCCTTCCCCTCCCTAGGCAGATTTCTCTCTCCTTAGGGGTAGAAGGATAGATATACACGCTGCCCTATATAAGCTTGGCATTTCATAATTTGGGGGTTCCCATTCTTTGAGGTCATTCCTGTATGCACAGATATATCCAAGTCGCACTGCCCCTTGGGGCCTTAGTGCTCTAAGATGCTCTGAGAGTAAATGTCTGGTCTGTGATCCAAGGTCTCATGTGTCTGTTAGTGTATATATGCACACACTGCCATATTGGCTATATGCAAATACTGCACCATCTCTATATATAAAAAGGCAGCTGCCAGAACGACCTAACAACAGGTTGCTATGATGCCCACTGTGGCCGGCAAACCGGCCGATCTGGGGATAGGGCCAATGGCGAACCTCATGGCCCCTCCCCTCTGCCAGCTTGGCCCTGATCAGACTCTCCCATCCTGATTAAGAGCGGGGCCTGCTGGCCAAACACCCCTTCCTTTCCCCACCCCCAGCCAGCTGCATCCCCATCACAATAGGC